CCTTCTATTATATGTATTCGCAACCCTTGTTGTCAAAGGTATCGCATCATGCTCTATCACCGCTGAGGTAACTAGATCCTCTGACAGTACATGCCTCGTCCCTTGGTCGCCTAGTAAAAGCCCATCATCGTGTGGGACTGTGTCCGTAGCACCCATCTTTACTGTCTCCAAGTTCACCATATTCGGCTCCCCTTCTTTAGACAAAGGTACTACCTCTCGGTCTACATCGGTCCCCGTGTCTACCTCATCCATAGCCATCCCCTCTAAGACATCACCTTTGTCATATTTAGAGTGTCCCTTATCCGTTTCAATCCGATCAATTGACTTACAAGTGATTTCGAGTCTTCCTTGCTTAACTTGATTATGTGCCGATTCCTTTTTATTCAAGCCCGATGCTTGTTTTCCAACAGCTGGATACTCATCCATACCCACCCCACACCTGTGGCAGCATAACAACTTCTTGGGACCCATTTCATACCCACTAGCCTAATCAATTCCTCCAATGCTCCTTTCAATTCCTGGACACGGGCCATAATTTCAGCCCTATTCAAACAACAATCCTGACCTTCGTTTACACTGACATTGACAGTCATCTCCTTTTGCTGTTGCCTCCGCTGGTCAACATGTTTCGAGGCATGTAGGTTTGTTGTTATGTCTGCATAAGTCAATCCTTGTCAATTACGTTCAGTCACAGGTCGACGTTTGGCTTTATCCCCCACAACAAAAGAATCCACAACAGCTTGAAACACCTGCGAGATTGATGCCCATCCTTCTCCATTCGCACCTTCCGGCACCATCACAACTCCCTTCCGACGCCTATCCCCAAACTGCACTATCATCAAGTACCTACCACGGCGGTTCGCACAACGCTGTGCTAAGAAGGCTCTTGAAGACTCATTGAATCTAGAAACGAAATCCTCATGCTTACTAGTCACCCTCAACTTGTCCACCATATTCACCATCCAACGTGCACCGAACCTTCCCATGCTAATTGCATTCGATATCTTCGAGCCCCATTCGGTCATTCTAACAACGCCAAGATTAGTAACAGAAATTGCAAATACCTTCGCCTCAACTCGAAGACGGTGATTGAAGGCCACATCTAATTCATCCACTAACTTCCTTCCCTGATTGTGTGATAACGGCACATTGGACGGCAAAACAGGCATTGTTACTGGACTGGGGACATTCTGCCCGTCATCTTGATTTTCCGGCGCCGGCGCGTGACTGACACGCGCCGTTTCGACGGCGCGTGGGTCACTCAACTCTGTTCCCCTGGCCGGAATCGCCTACGCATAACGCCGGTCAGGCGCGTTTGCCAGGCAGGTGGCCGGATTTTTCTGAATCTAGAACGGGCAACCCTGTTTTCCGGCCTCTTCTCCGACCTCGGCATCTGTGTCTCCAGCTAGGGCAGCGGTGCTAGGGTTTCCACCTAGGGCCGCCGCCTGATTATGTGGCTTATGTAGTGGCATAAGGCCGATGAATGGTTGGCCGATCGACGTGATGTCGCCGGCGACTGTAGCGGTCGGTGGTGAGGGCTGGCTAATGGTGTGATGTTTGGATGTTAGGGAGGAGATATCCATTCTCACTCAGATCATCCGAACCAGCACTATAATTATATTATGATTCTGCATTGGATCGGGAGAACATTTTGCTTTTTATTTTTCCATGAGACCAAATTTCTTCCAACAAAAACACAGTAGCTAGTAGTGGATCTTCAGTCAATCTTGGAACCTGCTGAATCTGCATCTGAAAAACATTCGATATATGTCCATGATTTTTGTACAGCATTCCATGTCCAGGAGCTCCCTTTAAATAGCACAAGATCTATTCTAAAGCTGCCCAATCGTGAATTGTTGGGAAAGACATAAATTGACTTACAACACTAACAGGATACGTATATCAAGATGGGTTACTGTAAGATAATTAAATTTTCCAACCAGTCTTCTATACTTTTCAGTATCTTCAAATAAGTCACCATCTTTAGTAAGTTGCAAATTAGGAAGCATTGGAGTACTGCTTGACTTAGCTCCCAACTTTCCTGTCTCAATTAATAAGTTAAGCACATATTTTCTCTGAGATAAGAAGATGCCTTCTTGCTTCTTGTCACCTCGACTCCCAAGAAATGCTTCTACACTCCTAAATCTTTCATGTGAAATTGGGCGTGAAGAAAGGACTTTAGATACAAAATTCCCATATTATCAGTGCCAGTAATAACAATATCATTAACATATATAACAAGAAGAAGAATATCAGATTTGGACTGTTTGTAGAAGGCCGAATGGTCAGATTTTCTCTTTTGCATTTCAAACTTTTTCACTGCCTGATTAAATTTTCCAAACCAAGCACATGGACTTTGTTCCAAACCATATAAGGACTTTCGAAAATGACGCACTTTCCCATACTCACCCTGACATCGATTTACATCTAATAGCCTTTTTTCCTGTAAGTAAATTTACTAGATCCCAAGTACCAATAGCATTTAAAGCGTTAATCTCTTCTATCATAGTATCACACCAATTAGTATGGGATAGGGCTTCATGAACAGTTTTCGAAAGAGTCACAGAGTATATGGAAGTAACAAAAGAACAAGAAGAAAAGGACAAGCGATTATGAAAAACAAAGGATGAAATAAGATATGTGCACTGATGTTTACCTTTGCGAAGAGCAATATGTAGATTAAGATCATTGGACACTAGATCTGATGCCAAAGAAGATTTAGGTGTTGAACATGCATCAGGAGGGTTTTGTCATCTAGAATACACCTGGTGAATAGGTGGTGGTGTGGGACAATAGGTGTAGAAGCAACATTACTTGACTAGTAAGTGACATGATAAACCAGTAAATCATCATCCTCCCCTTTACTGAAAGAAGTATAAGAAGTGGGAAAGAAAGGAACATGTTCCAAAAAGGTAACATTGGCTGACACAAGATACTTGTTAAGACACGGACAGTAGCATCGGTACCCTTTTTGTAGATGAGAATAGCCCAAAAAAATACATTTTAAGAATTTGGGATCTAATTTAGTTACATGGAAACGAACATCATGAGCATAAACAAGTGCTACCAAATATTCTAAGTTTAATAGAAAACAAAAGTTTAGTAGGAAAAGAGCACTATAAGAAGTCTTACCATGAAGAACGGATGAAGGCATTCGATTAATCAAGAAATAGGCTGTGGAGACTGCATCAACCCAAAATTGTTTAGGAACATGTATTTGAAATAGAAGTGTCCTGGCTGTCTCAAGAAGATGTCCATTTTTTTGTTCAGCCGCACCATTTTGAGAAGCTGTGTCAACATACAAGAATTGATGAAGAATACTATTTTGAAGCATGTAAGTCTGGAAAGAATCGAAAAAATATTCTTTGGCATTATCACTTCTCAGTGTATGTACTGAAATATTAAGCTGTGTTTTAATTTCAGTACAAAAGGCACTAAAATGATAAAATAATTTAGATCGATTCTTCATTAAATAAAACCAAGTCACACGAGAAAAATCATCAACGAAAATAACAAGATACCGAAATCCAATTTTAGATACAAGACAAAAACCCAAAACATCTTAATGGACCAACTCAAAACCCAAAACATCTTAATGGACCAACTCAAAAGGAAAATTAGTTTTTTTATTGACTCAGACGATGATATTTCGCATATGACTCACAAATTAAAGACGATAAATTCTGAAACTGAGGATATAATTTCTTTAACAAAAATAAAGATGAATGTCCCAACTGACAATGTGTTTCAAAAGGAGTTAAGATACTGAACACGCAATGGACTTGGGTACCTAGGTATTTAGAATATAGAAACCGCCTGATTCATGTCATTTACCAATAGTCTTCTTCATTACAAGATCCTGAAAAAGACACTAATCAGGATAAAATGAGACACGACAGTTTAAGGTCCGAGTAAGTTTGCTCACAGATATTAAATTAAAAGAAAATTGTGGTAGACTTAAGATAGAGAATAAGGAAATTAATGGAGTTGGATTAATAGTGTCAGAATTGAGAACAGAAGAAGTAGAATCATTAGCTAAAGTAACATTGGAAGGAGCCTTATTTATATCCCGTAACAATAGCTTATTAGAAATTATTTAATTTTAGATTAGTTGCTCTATAAATAGAGGACTTATTCATTGTGATATTCACCTTTGATGATATGAATAAAAAATGATTTCTTCTTGCCCTCAATTATTTTCTTCTTGGACCCCTTTTCTTTCTCATTCGTAATTGTTCATTATCTATTTGTTACGCTCCTGCAGCAGTTTTATTCTCAAATTCATTTACTAGGAATATAGACTCTGAACTTTGTTATGAACTATACACATCATCGAGAGGGTGCTTTTTCTTTTTTTACAAAATTTAAATGAATTTACATTGTCCACCTGACGTATTAATTTCTGCCACAAGTCTTTTTTTTTTTTTTGGTTAATCAGCAAATTCAATAATCAGCTTTGAACACTGAAATGGGTGATAATCCAAAAGTGTGTTCACTGGTTGCAACTCCTGTTAAATTTAGATAAAACCTCAAAATTTCAGTTTAAATATAAGAATGCTAGTTGCAAGATGATAAAATTTATCTTCGAAATCAGCAACCGCAGCATCTATACGAAAATTAAAAGAACCAATTCAATTGCATAAAGGTGTTAAAGAGTATATACGAGGCCAAGCAGTTACGTGCACATTCATCCTCTGATTCTATTATTTTCACGATTCTGCTTTCCTTGTATTTGCAACAATATGATGCTGCCTATTCCCTTTTTCCCTCCAATTTTTTTGGTGTGTGTGTGTGTGAGTGAGAGAGAGAGAGAGAGGCATACTGATATACAGATACAGGTTGACCTTTTAACTTGTGATTCTGGAAAGCACCTGATTTCTCCTGCATTCGTCCCTTACACTATCAATTCTTACCCGCTTATCATATTGAGAAGCTTTGTGTTGTAGCTGTGATTTTACCGGTCCTGACACACATTGTCTATTTTTCATTATTTTTATCAGCAAATGCTTGGGAGGAAGGAGATGAAGTTGTTCTGATCACTTGTCGCCTTGAGAATCCAGATCTTGACATGGTTAACAGCACTGTTAAAGAAAGGCTCGATAATTTCAAAAACGAACTGTAGGAGAGCTCAAAGCTGACAGATACCTTTATCATATCTCTCATCTCAAAGATGAATTCTGATTTTCGTTATCTCTGTCAGGTATGAGATGAGGTTCAACCTCAAAAATGGTCTGGCTTCACAGAAAAGATTATCTGTATCCGCTGTAGATTTTCCGAGGGTGAACGAAAGTTATACTACTAGGTAAGGTTTTTCAACACATTGCTAATGATTTAGCATTTGCATCTGAACTATCTCAATGAAGAGATGCTGGACATGAAAATCATGAAATATTCAGTTCTTTCAAGGCAATGGCCCTATAAATTCAGTTGCATCTGTTGTGGCAGATTTTATGCTTATTTATTCCCTTTTGGACATGTTCTATATTCTCTTGTGCTTGAAAAATTCTTTTACTATAATTATATCTGCATAGTCACAATTGTTTTACAAATTTAGGAAACAGCAATATGTATATGGAACAACACTGGACAAGATTGCTAAGGTAACTGGGATTATCAAGTTTGATTTGCATGCGGAACCAGAGACCGGAAAAGAAAAGCTAGAAGTTGGAGGAAATGTTAAAGGTATCTTTGATCTAGGACCTGGAAGATTTGGTTCTGAGGCTGTATTTGTTCCTCGACATCCTGGTAACACATCTGAAGAAGACGATGGCTACTTGATTTTCTTTGTACATGATGAGAACACTGGGTACTTTCTTTATCTTGTTCTGATACACTGTTTGGGTTCGTTTGTTTTGACCCGTAATCTATCGGTATCTTGGTGTAACTTAATTTTGACTTGTATTGCTAATCCAAATGCAGTATCCTTAGCCTTATTCTTATTTGATTACATATACAGAAAGTCAGCAGTGAATGTAATTGATGCGAAAACGATGTCACCTGATCCTGTTGCTGTTGTCGAACTGCCCAAGAGAGTTCCGTACGGATTTCATGCCTTCTTCGTGACAGAGGTAAATTTTATCCGTTATTATATCTCGAGAATTCATATTTGGCATACAAGAAATAATTCAACAACAGCTTTCATTTTCTATTTCTATCGATTCATTTAACTTGATGATGTTTTGCAACAGGACCAACTTCAAGAACAGGCAAAGCTCTGATAAGCAACAAGTTCTTGTGAGCTACAGCTGATTGCTATTACCGAACTGTCGTGTTTATGCCTAAAAAACAATGTGGGTGCTCGGTACTGTATTACAAGAACGAACAACTACTCTTGTACTTTGGTTGTATCACATTAAAGTATGTATTACAAATTGAACTTGAATTAACAACATTAAAGTTTCCATTTTAAATTATATGGTTCTTTATTTTATCATGTGAATAAATATGTATTTAACTTTCTGGTTTGGTTCGGTTTGGGTTGGGTTGGATTTATTAGAACGACCAAAATTCCATCCGTACCGACAAACCGAACATGGAAAAATCGACCCAAAGTAGTCAGTTTGGTTTAAGTTGGAATCAAGAATGTTCGATTCTAAAGGTGGGATTTGAAATAAAAGAAACACAGTATTCTTCAAAAGGGCTATTGCTCTGCATCTGCATTGCTCAAATAATCAAATATTACGTATCACACATTCAAGGGGAGTTCAACATGGGCATCCATTATTTTGGTAGAAACAAGAAACGTGTATATGAGGAAATAAAAGTGTATTCTATTGAATGGTAGGTCTAATGACACACAGACACACATTCTTGAATTGAATCGAATCTATCATTTAATGCCACAAAATTACCGGATACAATGACGATGATCATTAGCAATGACAAATAGTATAAGGCCCCGTTTGGTACCTATTTTTTTCAAAATGCATTTTTCTCTCACTTCTTTTCAACCAAATATTCTTTATTAAAATAATATCACACGTAAACCAAAAACTTTTCCTTATTTTTCAACCACACATTTTCCATCAGTTTACTATTCCAAAATGCATTTTTACATAAAAATGACTCCCAAACATCCTCTAACTCGTATAATTGCTTCTATTAAAATTTAGAGCAAATTATGAATACATTTTTTTACAACTACAGACTCTTTTCTTAAATTACAAAATGCTTTTTGAATTTCATTTTTCATTACAGATTCCCTGTTAGCTAATAATAATAATAATAATTACATTTTTGCTTTATACTATTATAAAATTGTTATTACATAAATTTAAACTACGAACTCTGAAGAATTATGCGGAATAACATAAACTATTTTATTATCTCATAAAATATTAATTCATCCAATCCACTACTGAGATGGCTTTCTGTGTTAAAGAAAAACTTTTAAACAAATTTGGAAAGTCAGTCAAAAAGATGAATGATCTGATGGGTTGGGAGGTATACCAATCCAACGGCTGTGTCAGGCTGTAACTAAGTTCACAAGACATAGCTGCAGCAATTCGACTAATAGCATGGTTCCTTCTCCTCAGGAAATGGATTTTGAAGTTCTTTGCCTTGGGTTAACTCCAGTCAATTTTGGAAATATAATTCTTATTAAAAATAATGAAAGAAAATTTAAGTTATTGATCCCGCAACATGGACTCTATGACAGTTTCAACCTCTTCGGTCAATCATGCATTTGTAAAATATTTTAAATAAGGAATGAGTATATAATACACTCAGTGTAGATTTTATGTCAGTATTTTCACAATTTAATATAAAAGGCAAGTAAAATAGGGACATAACATAATTTTTTGGTGAGATTGAAATTTGACCGTTTCATTCTTACTTAGGTCATATTAATTCTCAATCTCCACTTAGGGTTTTAGCCATACGGTTGGTTTCCTTGTAAATCTACATAATAATACCCACAAGATCTTTCTTTAGGCCCTGTTTGTACCCCTTTAATTTCAAAAAAACGTATTTATGAAGTAGTGATTGATGTTGAAATGTGTGGTTAAAAAAAAAGGAATTTTTTTTTATTTATGTGTAATATTATTTTAATGAAGGATGTATGGTTGAAAATGAGTACTATAGAAAAAATAATGTGATAAAGTGTTGTAGAATGGTATACAAACAAAGGCTTAATTCGAATAACATAATAGCACATAAAATACATAACGTAAAACATTAAAAAAGTGAAAACACAAAACCAATTGACATTTAGAGAAATCTATACATTTTTGGTTAAATTGCTTGTATACTTGAGCTACTTAGGACTTAAAATTCTTGTGAACGATCTCAAACGCATCTTTCTTCACTCTCAATATTCTTTTTTCTCTGAATTTGTGTGAATTGAAGTGCAACAACAAGATGACATTTATAGTTGTGATTAGATAAGAATAATTAACGAATTAACATTTTAATAAGACTCTTAATTTAAATTTAGATTGATCATTCAATAAATAAACTTTTCATGTAATTAGAATTTTCAGTGTGGATATATGCAAAATTCAAGCTTTATCTAAATATTTTTAGTGGAAATTGGGTGAAATAGCATGTCTCATGATATAATTTGCAAATATAGCCTTTGACGAGAATAAAAGTTTTAAAATAAATATTTTAAATTCATATTAACAAACTACCTGAATTACCCTCATTCATTCAACATAGAAAATTTCCCCTTCCTTTTCCCAAATCCATCTCTTCTTTGGAACGTAGAAACCTTCTAACCAACCATTGTTTCTTTTTCTTCCCATTTTTAATAGCTATACTTCTTTATCTTCTTCATCTAAATGAGATGAAATTTGTATGTAATTATTCTTCAATTTCAAACGCTACCATTATCTCGAGCAACTTCGTCGCGAACGACCTATTCAAGTAAACAATTTCCCAATTACATTTGTCACTTGCATCGACGAACAGGTAATTTCCCTTGCACCTTGTTGTTCATTCATCTGATCACAATATAATGTTCTGAGAAATTTATTGCATTTTTGAGTTTGTATGTTGTGATTCGGAGAAATTATATTGAAGGGAGCTATGACCTGTTTGTTGAAATTCCCAAGTGATTGGTAGAACTTTGTTAATCTTATTTCTTCGTAATCTTTTCCATTGGGTTATTAGAATTAATAATAAATGGATTGTTGTGACTCAGAATCAATAAAGAAGAGTTGTGGTAATGATGTGAAAATGGCGAGGTATCTTTGAAGGAAATACACAAATTATTTGCATACAAAGTAGGAAAAGACAATTATTTAGGACATGACTTAGCCATACAAATGACCAAAATCATTCACCCCTCTTGTCACTATTTATGTAATTGTCTTTTATACTGGAGTCGTTGGCCCTGCTATTACTAAGCAACTCTAAAAGTTATGTTTCACCGCTTGTTCCATTTGGCTTGTTCACTTGGCTCTATGGAATTAAATTTTAATTAGTTGTTTAATTTTGTTGTAATAAAACAAAAGCATTTTGAAATTTTGATTGATTCATTCACTAAGCCCTTTTAAAGTGGTTCATATTTGATGGTACGAGCTTAACTTAATTTCCTAAACATAAGGTCCATGTTGATTTTGGCTTTTGATTTGAGGGTCTATACACAATCTTTTTTCTCTCTTGTGTTCCCTTATTTGAAAATTTACTTCTGCGGGAGTATGCATTTCAGTTAGTAGGTAGTTGGCAGTTATCTCTTGCACTTGGTAGTTGGTACTGAGGGATCTACTTCCATTATCATCAAGTGGGAACTTCTTTTTTTCTTTTCCTTCAACAACAAAATGTAACATTTAGCGATTTTTTTTAATTTTATCACTTGAAAGCCATGTCTTGCAATATCGAATGGCTTACGTGCTTTGGTATATTCTAATGACAATAATCATGTTTAATTACAAAATAAAGCAACTTTTGACTAGATGTATTCAAGGTCCATGAAAGGGAGGTTAAGGATGCCTTGTTTTTTTTTATTCTACAAATTAAAGGTGTTAATAGTCCCATATGCTAAAATAAAGATATAAGGAAATTCTCTGCCTTGCTTGTGACTCATGTCTAATCAATGATGTACTAGTAAACGACATGAATCATAGTTTTCATTTCACACAACATTTCATTGGTCAACTAGTTCATTGGTTTGTAGATTTGTAGATAGGCATTTTCTATATTTTTGAAGTTTAGTAATTTTCTGTTAAACCTAGTAATACATCTGTTGCTAAATCATTCTTTCTTGCTTTTGACATTTATTTTTGGTTAAATTCGGTGCTAGGTGCTTCAGTATTGGCTTATTCAAAGTTTAAACAGGAATATCTTGTAGGAGTTGTTTTAGAACTATTTTACTTCATCTTATCTTATCTATGCTGGTGTTGCTATTCTTTAAAGTATTCTATTACCTAAAATTTTAGTCCAGTGATGTAGAAGTTGATTGAAACATTAAGCATATCGGTGAGAATTTTCATTTGTGTTTACTCTGACTAGCGTATTTATGACAATATCATTTAGTAGTATTCAATCCTTTTTTGCTAAACACACATTTAAGTCTCCAAATTATTATTTGATGTTAATGATACTGTAAAACTTACACAGGCAAAAACATCAAGAAACTAAAGCTCAAGTCTTTAAGGAAACACATCGGATTTTTCCAACAAGAGTCGACTTTTTTGGTCACATTAATTCGAAAACATTCTTATGGTTAAGAGGGAGCCACAAAAGGAGATTATAAAAGTAGTGAAGCTCACTAATGCACATAGTTTGATCAATGCCCTTCCGGAGGACTATTCCACTAAAATTGGTGAGCGATGTGTTAACTTTTTGATGGGCAAAAGCAAAGAGTTGTGCTTGCAAGTGCTATTACACAAGTGAAAATGGACACGATATTCGTAGTTACGACACCCATACATTTAAAATTACTATGCATCGTTTTGGATCTCGGGATCTCGATTTCACTCTAAACTAGTAAATGAATGTTTGGAATGTGATAGAAGACTTGTATTCTTGAACGAATGGATGTAATATTTTTTAGTTTGTTGTCAAGTGTGGTGTAATTTCCAAACAAATATATAATGTTACTCACTATCGTTTGAACTTTGTGTAGATCGTGACATCAAAATCTAGTCAAAATTCTCATCCTTACACTTTCAAGTGCTAACGAGCGAAAATGAAGCGAAATGAACATGAAATTAGTATAAATGATACTTGTACTTTTAAAATGATTACATATCGTTTTTGGGCAATAGAATCTCGATTTCACGTTTGTGTGAACTATATATTCAATGTATTGTTCAAATTTTCACGTGCCATTTTAGGTAGCAGATTGATTTCAGTTTCGAAATGTTCTATGTTTTATATATCCTAAACGGTTTCTATATACCCTAAACGGCAATCATACTTGTAAAATGATCATATGTCATTTTGAGTAGTAGGGTTCGAATTTCACTTATACATGTTGAATGATTA